GATCTCAGTTCTGTTGTATTGAGGCAACCTTCTTTGCTGTCCGCTACACCGCCAATTTTGGTGCCATCTGCAAACTTACTAATCATTACCTCCTATGTTCACATACAAATCAAGTATATAAACGCCAAAAAGCAGAGAACCCAGCACCAATCCTTATGGCATACCATTGGACGCAGGCCTCCAGTCTGAAAAGCAACCCTCCAATACCTCCCTCCATCTCCTACCTTCAAGTTCTGTATCCAAATGGCTAGTTCTCCCTATATTCCACATGATCTAATCTTGCTAACCAGTCTACCATGCAGAACTTTGCTGAACACCTCAAGTCCATATAGATCACGACCACTACTCTACCTTCATCAATCCTCTTTGTTGCATCTTCAAAAATACTCAAGCTAGTGAAACATGCACAAAGCCATGTTGACTATCCCTAAATCAGTTTTTGCCTTTCCAACTACGTGTAAATCATATCCCTCAGGTTCCCCTCAGACAACTTGCGTACCACTGATGTCAGGCTCACCAGTCTATAGTTCCGACTTTTCCTTACCACCTTTCTTAAATAGTGGCACATCAGCCAACCTCCAGTCTTCCAGCACCTCACCTGAGGTTCACCTATCAACTATGCAAATATCTCAACAAGGGACCCAGCAATCACTTCCCTAGCTTCCCACAAAGTTCTCAGGTACACCTGATCAGGTCCTGGAGATTTAAGAATCATAGAGTCCTACAGCACGGAGACAGGCCCTTTGGCCCAAACTGGTCCGTGCTGACCAAAATGTGCATCTACGCTAAGCCCATATCCATCTAAACTTTATCTATCCGTGTATTTGTCCAAATGCCTTTTAAATGTTGTTAACGTTCCCACCTCAACCACTTCTGCTGGTATTCTTTCCCCTCTTACCTTAAACTGATGCCCTCTAGTCCTCAATTCCCCAACGCTGGGAAAAAGACTGAATGCATTCACCCTATCCATGCTTCTCATGATCTTCTATAAGATCCCCCCTCAGTCTCCTATGCTCTAAAGAAAAGAAGTCCTAGGTTGTCCAACCTCTCCCTATAACTCAGTCCCTCGAGTCCTGGCAACATCCTTGTAAATTTCATCTGCACTCTTTCCAGTTTAATAACATCCTTCCTATAGCAAGATGACCAAAACTTAACACAATTCTCCAAGTGCGGCCTCACCAACATTATATACAAGTGCATCATAACTTCCCAACTTCTATACTCAATACCCTGACTGATTAAGGCCAGTGCACCAAAAGTATTCTTCACTGTCTTGTCTACCTGTGACTCCATTTTCAGAGAACCACGCACCTGCACTCCAAAGTCCCTCTCTTCCACTACACTCCTCAAGGCCCTACCATTCACCACGAAACTCCTACTTGGATTTAACTTTCCAAAATGCAACACCTCAAGCTTATCGACATTAAATTCCATTTGCCATTTCTCAGACCACTTCCCCAGCTGATCAAGATCCTGCTGCAATTTCTGATAACCTTCCTCACTGTCCACAATACTGTCGACTTGAGTGTCATCTGCAAACTTACTAATAGTGTCTTGTACATTCTCATCCAAATCATCGCTATAGATAGGGGGAGGCAATGTTATTCCAGAGATCCAGACAATGTTCCAGGTACCCGGGTTCGAATCCCACCAGGGCAGATGGTGGAATTTGAATTCAGTAAAATATCTGGAATTAAGGATCTATCGGTGACCATGAATCTATTGTCAATTGTCGAAAAACCCATCTGGTTCACGAAGGTCCTTTAGGGAAGGAAACCACCATCCTTATCTGCTCTTTCTTACATGTGACTCCAGACCCACAGCAATGTGGTTGACTCTGAACTGCCCTCTGGGCAATTAGGGATGGCAATAAATGCTGCCGAGCCAGCGACGTCCTCATCCCATTAATGAATAAAAACAAACAGCAATGGGCCCAGCACCAACGCCCGAGGCATACCACACAGGCCTCCAGTCAGACAAGCATCCTTCCAGTATTACCTTCTGCTTCCTACCATCAAGCCAATTGTGTATCCAATTTGCCAGCTCTCCCTGGATTCCATGCGATCTAACCTTCCAGCGCAGCCATGCGGAACCTTATCAAAGGCCTTACTGAAATCCATATCGACTATGTTTACTGCCCGCTCTACCCTCAACCACCTTCCTGGTCACTTCATTAAAGGACTCTAACAAATTTGAGAGGCATGATCTCCCACGCACAAAGCCATGCTGACTACTCCTAATCAAACCCTGTCTTTCCAAATGCATATATATTTTATCCCTCAATCTTCTCAAGTAACTTACTTACCACAGATGTTAAGCTTACTGGTCTATAATTCCCAGGCTTTTCATCATAGCCCTTCTTGAACAAGGGCACAACATTTGCTACCCCCCAGTCTTCCGGGACTTCACCCGTGGCCAACAAATATATAAGATATACCAGCCAGGGACCCTGCAATTTCATCCCTAGCCTCTTGCAGGGTTCTTGGATATATCTGTCAGGACCGAGAGATTTATCTGCCTTCGTACATTCTAATACTTCCAACACCTCATGTACTGTGGTATGGACTATCCCAAAGATATCACCACTAACTTCTCCTAGTCTTCATATCTTTCTCCACAGTAAACAGAGGAATTGTATTCATTGAGGACCTCGCCCATCTTATGCAGCTCCTCACATAACATGCCCACTTTGGTCCTTGAGGAGTCCTATTCTTTCTCTAGTTATTCTTTCCTTTAACATACTTAAAAGAATCTCTTTGGATTCACCCTAATCTTCTCAGCCAAAGCTATCTCATGCCTTTTTTTGCCTTCCTGATTTCCTTCTTCAGTAAACTCCTGTATCCCCCATATACTCCAGGGATTCCCGTGATCCCAGCTGCCTGCTCCTGAGCTATGCCTCCTTCTATTTTCTGGTCAAAAAATTTATCCTCCGTTATGCGTTTTAAGATGTCCAGAACCATCTCCTCCGTAATATGGACATTTTTCAAGCTGTCACTATTTATTATCCTAAATTTTCTAGCTTCCAAATCCTTTTCCACAGTACACACTGATGCAAAATATTCATTTAGTATCTCCCCCATCTCCTGTGGTTCCACACAGTCAGCTTTGCTGGATCTTTAAATGGACCCTGTTCTCTAAGTTACTCTTTTGACCTTAATGCTTTTGTAGAATCCCTTTGGATTCTCCTTAACCGTATTTGCCAAAGCATCTCATGTTCCCTTTTCACCCTCCCGAGTTCCCTCTTAAGTATACTCCTACTGTCTTTATTCTCTTCCAGGTATTTACTCGAGACCTGACATATGCTTCTTTTTCTTGACCAAAATCTCAATCTCTCTAGTCATCCAGCATTCCCTACACCTACATGCCTTGCCCTTCACCCTAACAGGAACAGAAAGTCTCTGGACTCTTGTTATCTCATTATTGAAGACTTCCCATTTCCCAACCATCCTAGTTGTAGGCAGCTTTTTCCTCATTCTGTGCAATTGTTACTGTTTGCATTTAAGATTCTTTTCAACTTAGTTTCAAGCTCAAGATCACATTTAACTAAATCATGGTCACTGTCTTAATTAATTAAATATGCCTCATTACACAATGCAAGGTCTAAAATCCTCTCTAGACGGTTCCACAGTTGATTGTTCCTGGATCTATCTTGAAAGTATTCTAAATCATTAGATTACCTTTCATGAACCTTTAATCAATCAGCCTACATGAAGATTCAAATACCTTATAACAATTAAATTTAGTCACTTGGTAGTGAAGAACTTGCCTACTGATGAGAAATGAAAAAAAGACATTCCACCAACACTTTTCATCTCCCATTCATCTGAACTTCGTTTCTTGCATCTGTCCTCAGGTAACAAAGACAATTTATATGGCATGAGTACAGCCGTACTGTTTGGGGTTGGCAAATGGATTCCGATTAATACAGCCAGTGCCATGTAGAATGGACTATGGGACATTGCTTTTATTTGAATTCATACCAGGTAAGTTGACTCTGGTCAGGGCCAGAGCAAATGCACCAGAGGATGCCTGTCCCCAAGCTGAAACAGGCACAATGCATTGACAGTAATAACACAAGTACTAACAGAATGCTGCAATCAATCCAAAAGTGAGGTTCTGTGTATCACACAGATAAGTAATAGTTTATAAATTGTGATGCCAGGTGCATAAGATCTAAATTCCAACAACTTGCAGATTGTATCAAAGGATATATTACTCTCTGTATACGCAACAGACAGAGCGCTGAGATAACCAGGTGTAGAGCTGGATGAACACAGCAGGCCAAGCAGCAGAGGAGCAGGAAGGCTGACGTTTCGGGCTGACGTTTCGGGCCTAGCTGGCCTGCTGTGTTCATCCAGCTCTACACCTGGTTATCTCAGATTCTCCAGCATCTGCAGTTCCTACTATCTCTGAGACAGTGCTGATGTACTCAACCAGACCCTGTTTACAAAAAACTTAGAACAAGTTACCAATTGTAAAATCATATCTATTGTTGGACACATTTGCAAAATGATCTCAAGTGCGCTAAGGACTACAACAACTAATTTAAGATCATCAATCGGAGTTGCAGTGTGGCTCTGTCATGTGGCCTAGAAGTCATGTACATTCAAAAGCAGAGCCCTGTGCTTTGCAAACAGAAATAACATATCATGCATTTGAGTTTGAGTTTCTAGAACAGGCATTCTCTGTACATTCTCCAAGGTAATGCCTCTACCAAAGTCAACTTGCCAATTAATCAGCACACCCTTTCTCATGCAAATATTATTTGTTGTTCTACGTGGAGGGGCATGACTCTTTTTTCAGCAATACTCAGTAACAAAGGCATTGTGATAATTTGAAAGTTAAAAAGAAAGCAATGCTTCCTTCCCCTCAACATCAATCCTCTGCCTTCACTCTTATTTACAAAGCAGTCACATCCTGATCTGTGTTGCACACACAGCTATTCAAAGATTTGCATCAAAAATTAAGTGAGAATAGTCAATTTGTTAACAACAGCTCACCAATGCATTGGGCAGCATCTCCAGTTCCTGTTGAAGGAAAGGATAGTCTTCATTTCCTCATCACTCAACTTAAAATCAAGAACCTGCATAAAAGCACAAATCTTCATAAATTTTTATCTTTATAATGGACACAAGGCCTACAGAAACATGGTTAAGCACCACACCACCACTAAGAGCAAGCAAATAATATTTTAATTGATAGCCCATTTTTAAAAAAATTCAGGTATACCAGCAAAGTTACCGAGTAATCATGGCACTTCAGTCTTCAAAACAGGGATCCCAAAGTGGTCGGTTTTCTAAGTTCTTTTAAATCCCAACTTTCTCTCATCTAATTCAATTTAATAACTTTGGTACAGAATAAAGAAATGCCAAAGTGGGTGCTTTTCAAACACATTTCAGTTTTCTACATCCACTATACCTTAGAATTTAGGATTCCCCGTCACCAAGACACCCATACCTTAAAGTTTTCCCGAATACGTTCTTTGGTAACGGACTTTGGAATTGTAACCAGACCTCTCTGAATCTGGAAACGGATCAAGACCTGAAAGAAAAATCCCACACAATTAGATCAAGTACATTTTAAACTACAAAGTGTGAAGGATAACTACATTGTTGCCAGGAAGCATCTTGACTGGTATGAAACATCTGCCTAACTGGAGGAAGTGATGATTTGCAGTAGCAAGTTTTTTTTTTTAAAAAAACCTTTATTCATTCACGGGATCAGGACATTGCTGGCTAGGCAGCATTTATTGCCCATCCCCAATTGCCCAGAGGCAGTTAAGAGTCAACCAAATTGCTGTGGGTATGGATTCACATGTAGGCCAGACAAGGTAAGGGCAGCAGTTTCCTTCCCCAAAAGGGGATTAGTGAACCAGATGGATTTTTCCAACAATTGGCAACAGATTCAATCATTAGTTTCTTTTTTTTGATTTCAATTTCCTACATCTGATGTCCATCTCTACCTCTAAAGGTTTCTTCAACACTAGACAAAAGGGAGGAGAATGCATGGGTTCTGACAGCCTTCTCTGCCATTGTGGGGGCGGGCATGTTTTGCTACTGTCCCATTTGCGAGTTTGCAGCTTTCATGTGGTCCACCTGCTTGTTCAGGACCACTTCATCTACCCGAACTTTGTACATCACAGAACTACATCTCACATCAATCATGCCTCTTAATTGTGCAGGGCTATTTCAATGGTTGCAACACCAAACTTCATCCCTGAAGTAAATTGTCTCTCTCATTTACAGGAATCTTGTGTCCAGCATTCCTGATGCCGGATATCCTCCCTCCCCCAAAGTCCAGGAAGATCAGATTTAATCTGGTGTAGAGCCTTCTCCCCATTAGCAAGTCTGCTGGAGCTGTCCCTGTAGTTGCATGAGTGGTGGCCCGACAATCAAACAGGAACTGGGATAGTTTGGTATCAGGTGAAGCTGTAGGCGGTTTCTCTAAACATGCCTTCAACATTTGGACTGCTCTTTCCCCAGCCCATTGAACAATGGATGGTATGGAACCACCCATACATGCCAAATGTCATTTGACTTTAGAAAATATTTAAAATTTCTTGCTGGGAAATGACAGCCCGTTGTCTGTAACCAATACTTCCTGGAGTCTATGTATTCCAAAAGATGTGCGCAGTTTTTCTTTCGTCATCCCCATGTTTGGGGAATGAACTCTATGCACATCCAACCACTTTGGAGTGGGTGCCCACAATGACCAAGAACATAGAGACCATGAAAGGGTTGGCACAGTTGATGGTGTGATCAAGTCCACAGTTCACCCAGCCATTCCCACAAGTGTGGGGTAGTTGCTGGCAGTCATTTCTGTCCTTGTTGGCACTCTACCACCAAGACAACTATAGCTGCATCAATCCTGGCCACCAGACATAAACTTCTCAACATCATCTTCATTTGGACACCCCTGGATGATCCTGGTGGAGTTCAGCCAGTATCTGGTGGCAAGCTTTGTTTGGGACAATCACTCTTGCTTCCCTTAATAAAACACCATTCTCTACTGTGATCTGGTCTCAAGTGCAGAAAGGTTTCACTTCTGGTTGTGATGACCCTATCATTTCCCCCATCACGACCAGCTTTTAGCTTTGACAGGATGGGATCTGTGTGTTTACCATCTGATATTGTCAGCGGTGACCGGAAGTGCATCCAGAAGGTTTAAAAACCAGAATGGTCTCTTCCAGTGGTGGCACCACCGCTGGTGTATCTGCCAGCAGGGGTGGGGGGAGCAAGTCAAGGCATCAGCACTTGCTACTTGGCCTCCCGGATGCTGTTCCAACTTGTAATTTAGAACGAAAGCCTGCCGCTGAAGTCAACCTGAAGCTATGGTCAGCACGGCCTTGTCCGCTTTGAGTAGCCCTAAAAAGGGAGTATGGTCTGTTACTGTTACAAATTTACGTCTGTAAAAAAGGTACTGGTGGAACTTTCTCACACCAAAGATGACCGCCAAATCTTCCTTCTCTATCTGGACATATTTGCTATCTGCATCAGCCAAAGCTACTAGGTGTTCTTCTCCATTGGACCATCGGTCAGTCAACATTACCCTGATTCCTTACAGGGAGGCATCACACATCAACACCAGCTCTCACTTGAGATCACAGTGTGCCAACACCTTAGACAACAACAGCTGCCATCTTTCCTTCTCCAAAGGCTACATCTTGGTTACGAGACCCCTTCCAAGGCTGACACTTTTTCAATAGCAGATGTAAGGATGCCAGGGTGGAGGCCTGGTTACACATGAATTTTCTGTAATAATTCACCAGTCTAAAGAACGACTTAAGCTCCGATACAGACATAGGAGCCAGAGCACCTTTGATCGCCCTCACTTTTTCTTCCAACGGAGATAACCCGGACTTGTCGACTCCGTAGCCCAAGTAGGTCACCTGGGTGCCTGGAACACACGTTTTTCCCTTCTAAAAGGTGCACAGCTGTCTTAGAGAAATGTCTCAGGATTATGTCAGAATTCTAAGTGCTCTTTGTTGGTCTTCCCTGTCATTAGCAAATCATCCAGATAAATAGCGACCTGGGGTAGACCTTGTAAAATGTTCTCCATTGTCCACTGAGAAATAGCACAGCCTGACGATATCCTAAATGGCAGTTGTGTACATTGGTACAAACACATGGGTTTTAATTGTAGCATACAATCCTTATCTAATCACAATTGCAAGTATGCAAGGCTCATGACCAGCACCTCCACATCGCCAGCTTTGTATGCTAGTCCTGTATGCGAGGGATTGGGCATTTATCCAGCTGCAAGCAGCTGTCTACCGTTTGTTTAAAATCCCCACAAAGGCGAACTAACCTGTCAGGTTTCACAATCAGTATGACCAGCGCTACTCACTCCGCAAATTGCACTGGTTTGATGATTCCTTCACTTTCTAGCCTCCTTATTTCTGCCTCTACTTTTACGCACGAGGGAAATGGCACTTGCATAATTGTGGAATTGCTTCCTGGTCAACATGCAAGGCCTTGGCTACTTTGATAGTCCCTAGACTTTCCTCAAACTTCCAGGTATTTAAATTAGGCAGCCATTTTCTAATTGAAACATGTTGAGCCGATCAAGGTGAATATTTCTCAAACAATCACGCCCTATCAGACTTGGGCCCCAGCCTTTTACTACAATCAATGGTTTAAAAAAAAAAAAAACAACCAGCTGCTTCTCATACAGGAACAGAACCGAAGCTGTACCCTTAATCTGTAAAGGTTCCCTGTCTAGTCGAGGTCTTATACAAACTTAAGGTTGGAGTCCAAAATGATTTGTTAAAGACTGGTCCTGCAAACACTGATACAGTCACACTGGTATCACAACCTCCAGTAGAACCAGATGATCACCTAACCAGATAGGCATTTTGATTGGTTCTGATTTGGATGTTGCTAAGCAATTTAACAGTTCCAAGCCAGATGCAGGTGGGCTTTCCAGGGTGTGCACTCTGCTGGATACGAGTTCTCTTCCACTAGACCTGAATTGAGTGACTCTCGTTGTCTCAAGTCTGTACACCAGCAGCAAGTACAATGGTTTGTCTGTCCAGATCCTGAAGAAAACATTAACTGTTTGGCTGAGGCTTGGCTTTGTTTTGAGTTTATGCTGTGGGCTGACCTACAGTTCGTCTGTTCAGGCCATGTAATTGCCTTTACTCAAGTGGTGTCCCCAAGCTCAGTTGGCCTGGTGAGAACATCCACTTCCATTAGAATACCCTGTAACTTGTGCTGGACTTGTCACATTTTCTAATGACAAAGCCAGTTACAGTGCCTGTTTGAAGCCCAGATGGGCATAAGATAATAGGCACTTTTGCATGGTTACGTACCAAACTGTCTCAGCATCTCACTTAGGGCTAAACCAAAACTACGTACCACTGCCAGTCGTCTTAACCTTGTCAAAAGTCCCGACAAGGATTCCCGTGCTTCTCAAACAGTCGAGTAAAACCGATCACATCTCAGAATTGCAGGAGGTCTGGGGTTGTAATACTCCGTGACTGAATCCATCAACTCTTGAAAGGTTTTAGTATCAGTGCCTCAGGAAACGTTAGGCTCCTAATAAAAAAAGCTGTGGGTCCAAAGTTGTTAGGAGAATTACTCATTGCTTTTCACCTGCCCCAATGTCATTTGCCCTGAAAGAAATAAGATATTCCTTCTACACTGGGCCCAGTCTTCAATGGCAGGATCAAACAGGTCAAGCTTCCCAAATAATAACAGGATGTGAGAAATGTTTACCCCAACTCAAAGACGACTGCCGTGAACTAATTTCTTCAGAGCGTATTTTTTTTTCCTCTTGTCATCACTGAAGTAACTCCATAGAGGCTGGCATCCTGTCACTGTATATTTACACATGCATAGTACTTGACATTGGTCTGGTTTCCTCAGAGCCAGCTGAGTGAACAGAAATTCTGACACTTCTGTTTATAACAAGGTTAACAAGGAGAACTCATTCTATGAGGTCCACCCGGCTGACCTCATTACAATCACTATACTCTAGAACTCTCTTCCATTTAAATTTGAATGCTGGAACCAAACAAGAAACTAGTGGTCAAATCAGAAAAGTGGCAGGAAACAACAAGGGCAATGTTATTTCACACTCCAGCATCAGCAGTTCTTACCATCTCTCAGGGAAATGTTTCTTCCTTTATGCAAGTTACATCAATATACCCATTGGAGAGAGAACGGTTTTCAGCCAGAACTTCTCTGGAAAAAGGAGGACTTAAAATCATACTCCTGATTATAATTGTGGCTACTGGCAACCAAAGGAACAAAATCAGAGAGCCTGTCGTTTGCATGGCATTCAAGGCACACCCAAAGAAAGTGCCTGTACAGCAAGAAATCCAAAGGCTGATATATTCAGAATATGATACTCAAATGGCAAATTACGACAAAAAGATGTACAGTCCTTTTCAGAGATCAGTGTAAGAGAAGAGCCTGCTTAAGAGGTTTGGGTGCTCAAGGATAAACAGCATTCATCCATACAAACTGTCAAATCAGTAAACAAAAAGACAGCAATAAAACAGTTGTTACAAATGTCAAAACAAGCTATCTTCCAAATATGCACGCAATGAGACAGCATAGGCCATTCAGACCTTCAAGCCTGTCCTGCCATTCAGTACGATCGTAGTTGATCTGATTTTAACCTCAACTCCACATTCCTGCACATCCCCAATAATCTTTCATCCCCTTGGTAATCAACAATCCACCTACCTCTGCCTCCAGCAATCTTCCGTCAGTATGTTACCTGCTGCACCATGGGTGTTTATTGTCCACGATAATCTTTGACGGGGCATCAAATATCTTTCAAATCTCCCCCTTATTTACAACACAAATGACTTCAAGAGAACTCCAATAAATTTGTAAAATATGCTTTCCTTTTGGACTTAGAATGCAAGTGAAGTACAAAGTACCAGGATTCTATTCACTGAAATCATTCAAATAAGAGATCAGGTACACATCGACTTAGTGTTTCAATCGTCCGCTCACACTCAATCCTTCAACTCTACTCCTCTCTACAAGTCATGTTATAATTTTATGCATTAAGTGAGATGAGAAGCTTTTTTACTCAGCTGTCAGGATTTGCAATGCGCTGCGTAGGAGCAAGGTGGAGGCCGATTCCATAAAAGGTTTCAAAATAGAGCTGGATACATATTTGAAAGTGACAAATACAGAGAGTTACAGAGAAAGGGCTGAGAATGGGACTGGTCAGGTAGCTCTTTTTGGAACTGGTACAGATACAGTGGGCCGAATGCCTTCCTTCTGTACCATAGAATTCTATGATTCTAGTACATCAGAATTGACTGTTAGGTGCATCAAAAGAGCTAATTTAAACAACCGGAATTTGTAATACTGCAGAGCTACAAAACAGATTCAGATTCAATCTTTATCAACACACAACATAGAAGTTACAAATTAATTGAAGAAGTTTCTGAAAAGATGAACATCCCAAGCTGGGAGTTTATACTCATGTGATGTGAAATTGATTCTAACATTGTCCTACATGCTGGAGGATTTGAGCTTAAGTGTTCAAAATTTTAAAGTTTTATGGTAGCTAGAATCGGTGAGTGGAGGCAAATTTCATTTCAATAGAAGCACTGAAATTGGAGTTGCTGAAAATTACAATTAAGAGTAACCTAAACTCCAGTCATAACATCATAAGAATTAGAGGCAGGAACAGGCTATATATGGTCTTTCAAGCTTTCTCTGCTGTTCATTAAGATCGTAGCTAATAAGATCAGCTATATTTTCCCTTTATCCTCATATCCTTAAATTCCATTAGTATCCAGAAATCTACTGGTCTGTCTTGAAAATATTAATTAGCTGATTACCCAGAATTCCCTGGAGTAGAGAATTCCAAAGCACGGCCCTTTAAATGAAGAATGTCTCATTACAGACCTAAACAGCTAGAGTCTTATTGTAATTGAGACCCCCAATAACCTAGGCATCACTAAAGTGGGAAATATCCACCCAACATCTAGATCATGTATTTCCATTTGCATGTTTAATTCTTGTGAGCTCTATGGTTTAGGTCAGTCAATCAATCTTTACAGATCAATCCCTCATCCCAGTCCCTTTTAGGTTACTGCCATGAATTAACCCATCAAATACAAGTACTTAGAATAATGTTTTAAGAAAATTAGTTAAACAAACAGCAATTACATTTAGAATGCTAAACGTTAAAGGGTATAAACAATTATTGCTACTGCACTCAAACCAGCATCTCATTGCTGCAGATTTAACAAACGTTCACATACCTGTGCTGTTGATTTACCATGGTGACATGCTATACGCTTGAGTTTAGGATCCTGGAGAAGTGCAGGGTCATCTTTTTTTGCCCTAAGACAAAGAAAGTCATCCAGATTACTCAAATTTGCAAGTTTCCAGGAACTAAAACCTAAACAATGTGATTTGCAATTGGGAAACCATGTTAGGTAGCAGTCCCTGGCTGGCGTTGAGTAACCAGCAACTTTAACACTGTTCCAAAATTACCACCAAGAGTAATACATCTTACACCTAATAAGGAAACATCCCTTTCTGCAAAAAAGAACAACTGATTCTGGACACTAATTACATAGTTCCTTCCAGGGTATCCTATCAAAACTTGCAGGGCTCTGAAAAGAATGGGACAGTGACTTAAGGTTAATCAATCTTCCAGCAAGCTACACAGACTCAACAGGTCAAAAAGCTCCCTTCTCCACGTAACAATTCTATGATTTGCATCTATAAACAGAATGTGGTTTGCACAATGACCATGGATTAGAGAGTGCATCATGATTAGGATTCAAACATTTAGTGCTAGTGAAAATTTGCTACAGCGGATGGAGGTTTAATTTTAACCTGCAGTATGAATTGCCTCAAACTCACATGAGGCACTATAATACACGGATGCAACGTGGTCTTGTGCTCTGGGGCCTGCAAAGAGTCTGGAACTTAAGTACTTATGGTCACTTATCATTTTGGACTTCTTCACCATTTCACGCTATTCTACATTATTTTTAACTCTGTAACAACACTATCTTTTGTATTCTAAGATTAGTACCCAAGGTGGCACCATTAAATGGCGCCATTGTAAAAACTTTTCACTGTACTTCTGTACTGGAGTACATGTGACAATAAAGGATATTCTATTCTGGTCTATAATATGACCTTTGACTTCAAAGTGGTCCAGAAAAAAAATTATTGATTTTTTTTTTTTATAGAAACACTTAAGGGGAATGAGCCATTGTCCGAAACAAAAAAAGTTGTTCACCTACGATGCACTAATTATAAGAAGTCTTCAAAGAGGAAATAGTTCAGGTAGGGACTAGACAAATTCCCAGGAAACAGAAAGGAAATGGCATTCAAAGCAGAGAGAGTAGAAATAAAACTATTTTGTTTCAAAGAAAAGAGTAAGTGTCTTTGTAGTAATTTTGCTGTACTGGTAAGTATTCTGAGGAAGTGGGTTAAATCCCATCATGACAGATGATGAAATTTGAACTCAATACAAATCTTGAGTAAAATACTAGCTTAATGGTGACTGTGTAGCTATTGTTGATTGTTGTAAAATCTACCTTGTTCACTAATGTCCTTCAGCGAAATAAAAAAGTCATTTTCTTGTCTGGCTTACATGTGACTCCAACAATGCAGTTGACTCTTAACTAGCCTCTGGCAGATTGGGATTAGCAATAAATACTAGCATAGCTAGGGATGCTCACATCCCATGAGCAAGTAAACACAAATAATAAAAGGAAATTCAAGAAGGATAGGAGGGGCCAGTTTCAGGCCCAAAAAAACACTTGTATGCTTGGAGGTGGAGTTCATGATTTGTATACCAAAAGTGTACTTTTCAAACTTGGTCTCTCTTGAGGAGAGTTGCCAAATATTGTGTTTGTTCTAACAAAGCAAGATCATGTTTTAAAGGCATAGTGGGAATACACTGAGCCAAAGAATTTGGAAATGACAAATACAGCAGATCTGTTTGTCCACTCTGAAGGAAGTTATAAATATTAAGTACAACATGGGTCTGCTCTCACCAATCACGAGACCACCCTCATTGACAAAACAGAAGAACGAAATCCCAGAACCAGATGCAATAAACAACTGAAGATTTACAATCTGGAAGAGCAGCATTTCCTGAACTCGATAATATGATGATTAATGGTTTTATAGCTCAGATACCATGGTCTAGCTGGAGATCCCAGTGGGCTATAGGCAGTCACTACAATGCCGTTTGAATGGCAATAGGAGATCAGATCTTCTTGAGTCAGGTAAGGGTGGCATTCAATCTATTAAAGCAACCAGAACAAGAGAAAACTTCAGCAGGTCACTGATTAGTTTTGCAGAATGAAACACTGCAGACCAGTGAACACAATTGGAAAATGGTCATAAAAAATCTGGAATCCAATGATTTAATTTTAAAAATCTACTCATTACCTGGTTGACTGCAGGTTTGTATTTCAAACTTGGTTTCTTCAAGATCCGGTCAATCTGATCTTTGTTGAAGTTGGACACTCCTATAGCTTTAACCATTTTTTCATCAACTAAGTCTTCCATTGCCTGTGAATGAAAATTATTTTGCTCTTAATTCATACTGTAATTGAAAAAATAACAGTACCAGATTAAGACAAGAAATCTCCAGTAGTTACGCTTAGTGCAGCTAAAGTCGCTAAATCAGCCTTCCAAAAGTTGGGGTGGGGGTAGGGGTAAAGATATTTAACATTAATCATTCTTTCAGCTTAAAACGAATTTAGAAAATACGCAACTGAAACAAAGCCATATGACCAAGTCAAATACTTACCTCCCAAGTGTCAAGAAAATCAGTGTCACTTGGAATTATCAACTCATTCTCATCCAAAGGAAAATTCTCGTCACCAGCCTACAAAAAAAATTTTGAACATGACCTTTAAATATATGCTCCTGAAACCTACAAGAGAATAGAGGCTCAAAGGAGGAATAAAACTAAGCAAGATTGTTGTGAAATAATGGCAAAAGTTGATGAATGAAAGAGAAGACATGTGTAGGCAAGCTTTCGTCTGCTTTGCATATACCACAAACACCAGTCCAAATGTTTTACTTCATGCAACATGGGTCTCAGTAACTTTCGATACATTAGCACACTGTGGCTTGTTGAGGCACAGGTTTATCATGCCTCATCTGATCTTTTCCCATGGTAAAACACTGTTTTATGATACTCCACTGCTATCTATAACATCCATATACTCAGTCTTCCTCTGACTCAATCAATATCTCAACATTATCCTACTCTACATGGAGTAAAAAACATACATCACCCTCAATCTCATGCCCACCTCTCAGTGCAGCCGCATCACATTGCATCAGTATGCAAATACCAAGTGCCACCACTTGTTGAGATTCTACCTGTCTCTGGTGTTGCAAAGGATCAGTCAGGTCATGCTGCCACACTTGCAACATTTCAAGTAATTGGAGTGTGCTGGACCATCTATCCCTCGTGGAGACATTTTGCAAAAGAACACCTGTGACCATGAGTTGATCAGGCAGCGTTCAGCACATAACATCCTGAATACTTTACATGGATAAAGAAGGTAGATCCTGTTTGCTGGTTCCCTGAGTAGACCATCAGAGTCATTTTGGTAGAATTGCTCGTCACCAGAACTTACCAACTAGCAATAAAACATAGCTTGCCTGGTGATGAAAACAGCGCTTCTGGTCAAATCCTTATGACCAAGACTGTTCTACCATTCAATAAGATCATGGCTGATCCAATTATAATCTCAAGTTTGCATTCCCAACTCCCCCGATAACCTTTCATCTTCATGCTTAAGAATCAATCCAACTATGCCTTAAAATATTCAAGAACTCTGCTTCTACCACCTTTTTAGGAAAGGAGAGACCTAAAGGCTCATTATTCCCAGAAAAAAATAAATATCCTCATTTGCGTTTTAGATTGGTGATGTCCGAGTTTTAAATCATTAACCCCCAGTTGTAGATTCTCCCACAAGAGGGGACATCCTCACCATATCAGCCCTTTCAAAGATTTTTTATGGTTTAATCAAGTAGCCTCATTCTTCTAAACTCCAGTAGATACAAGTCTGGCCAACCTTTTCTCGTAAGGCAACTTCCTCATTCCAGGTGTTTGTTTGGTAAACCTTCTCTGAACTGTTCCAGCACATTTCCATCCTTCCTTAAATAAGGCGACCAATAGCATACACAGTACTCCAGATGAAGTCTCAACAGCGCCCTGTATAACTGAAGCATAACCGCCTCACTTTTGTAATCAACTCCTCACAATAAGTTATTGCATTCTGTTCGCTTTCTTAATTACTTGCTGTACCTGCATACTAACCTATTGTGATTCATGGCTTTCAGTTGTTTCAGCGGTGGGAGTCCGGGAGGAAGCACGAGGGCAGCCTGGGAAGGTAAGCTTTGCAATTATAAAAGTCTTACCTCGCGGGACTCCACTTTTGGAGTGAGTAAGTGAGGTAATATATTTGGGTGGTTGCTTTACCCGAAACACTATCTAGGTAGTGTCTCCCACCCATCCTCCTCCTCTAACCAAAAAAAGGTTCTGAGCGCTGATTTGGTAAGGCTACTTGTTTTTTTAAAAAAAAAAACACTGTCTGTTTGGGAATTCAGAACAGTGGGAATGGATGTTAGGCCAGTTGCATGCTCCTCCTGTAGAATGAGAGAGGTTAGTGTCCCCACTGACTTCATCTGCAGGAAGTGCACCCAACTCCAAGGAAACCACGTTAGGGAACTGGATGAACTTCGGATCATTCGGGAGGCTGATAGGGTAATTGAGAAGAGTTACAGGGAGGTAGTCACACCTCAGGTACAGGAAAAAAAAGTAGATGGGTTACATCTACTTTGGAAAGTTAAAGTCCCCCATAACAACTACCCTGTTATTTTCGCTTGTATCCAGAATCATCTCTGCAATTCTTTCCTCTACATCTCTGGAACTTTTTGGAGGCCTGTAGAAAACTCCCAACAGGGTGACTTCCTTTCCTGTTTCTAACCTCAGCAGACGAGTCCTCATCAAACGAGTCCTTTCTGCCAACGCAATACTGAACTTGACTAACAGAAAGGGAACAGGCAGAGTGCAGGGATCCCCTGTGGCCGTTCCCCTCAAAAACAAGTATACCGTTTTGGATACTGTTGGGGGGACAACTTACCAGGGGTAAGCCATGGGATACAGGTCTCTGGCACAGAGTCTGTCCCTGTTGCTCAGAAGGGAAGGGGGGAGAGGAGGAGAGCATTAGTCATTGGGGACTCCATAGTTAGGGGGACAGATAAGAGATTCTGTGGGAACAAGAGAGACTCGCAGTTGGTGTGTTGCCTCCCAGGTGCCAGGGTCCTTGATGGCTCCGATCGTGTTTTTGGGATCCTTAAGGGGGAGGGGGAGCAGCCCCAAGTCGTGGTCCACAAAGGCACCAATGACATAGGTAGGAAGAGGGATGGGGATGTAAGGCAGAAATTCAAGGAGCTGGGGTGGAAGCTTAGAGCTAGAACAAACAGTTGTTATCTCTGGTTTGTTACCCGTGCCACGTGCTAGCAAGGCAAGGAATAGGGAGAGAGAGCAGTTGAACATGTGGCTACAGGGATGGTGCAGGAGGGAGGGATTCAGATATCTGGATAATTGGGGCTCATTCTGGGGTAGGTGGGACCTCTACAAATGGAATGGTCTACACCTGAACCAGACAGGTACCAATATCCTGGTGGGGAGAGGGGGGGGGGGGCAGAAATTTGCTAATGCTCTTCGGGAGGGTTTAAACTAATTCACCAGGGGGATGGGAACCTGAATTGTAGCTCCAGTGTACAGGAGGTTGACAGTAGTGAGGTCATAAATAAGGTTTCAAGGTTGCAGGAGTGTACCGGCAGGCAGGAACGTGGTTTGAAGTGTGTCTACTTCAATGCCAGGAGCATCCGGAATAAGGTGGGTGAACTTGCAGCATGGGTTGGTACCTGGGACTTCAATGTTGTGGCCATTTCGGAGACATGGATAGAGCAGGGACAGGAATGGTTGTTGCAGGTTCCGGGGTTTAGATGTTTCAGTAAGATCAGGGAAGGTGGTAAAAGAGGGGGAGGTGTGGCATTGTTAGTCAAGGACAGTATTACGGTGGCAGAAAGGACGTTTGATGAGGACTCGTCTACTGAGGTAGTATGGGCTGAGGTTAGAAACAGGAAAGGAGGTCACCCTGTTGGGAGTTTTCTACAGGCCTCCAAAAAGTTCCAGAGATGTAGAGGAAAGAATTGCAAAGATGATTCTGGATACGAGCGAAAGTAACAGGGTAGTTGTTATGGGGGACTTTAACTTTCCAAATATTGACTGGAAACGCTATAGTTCAAGTACTTTTGATGGGTCAGTTTTTGTCAAATGTGAGCAGGAGGGTTTCCTGACACAGTATGTAGATAGGCCAACAAGAGGCGAGGTCACATTGGATTTGGTACTGGGTAATGAACCAGGCCAGGTGTTAGATTTGGAGGTAGGTGAGCACTTTGGTGATAGTGACCACAATTCAGTTACGTTTACTTTAATGATGGAAAGGGATAGGTATATACCGCAGGGCAAGAGTTATAGCTGGGGGAAAGGCAATTATGAGGCGATGAGGCAAGATTTAGGATGCATAGGATGGAGAAGGAAACTGCAGGGGCTGGGCACAATTGAAATGTGGAGCTTGTTCAAGGAACAGCTACTGCGTGTCCTTGAGAAGTATGTACCTGTCAGGCAGGGAGGAAGTGGTCGAGCGAGGGAACCGTGGTTTACTAAAGAAGTTGAATCTCTTGTCAAGAGGAAGGAGGAGGCTTATGTAGAGGTGAGGCGTGAAGGCTCAGTTAGGGTGCTTAAGGGTTACAAGTTAGCCAGGAAGGGCCTAAAGAGAGAGCTAAGAAGAGCCAGGAGGGGACATGAGAAGTCTT